TAAATTGTGGTCAATGTAATGAGACAAAGTGTATGTGATCTGCTGTATGGAAAGTGTATTTGCTCTGTAAATTTTCACCCAAATCACAATAAAAATAAAAATTAAAAAAAGAAAAGATAGTTTTAGTTGAGTCCAGTATTGAGATTGGGGTTTCCTACTCAATACTAAATTTTCTTTACCCCTCAGGCTGTAAGGAGTTAGTTACCTGGGGAATTTCAGCCTTTGATTCCTGGACATAGTTTCTGCACAAAATCCCTCTCTTCCCTTTTTTTGTGGGCTGAGGTGGACAGTGTAGATTTGAAATTTTTGATACAATCAATAACCACTTGCCACATATACACACCAGGTGTCAAAAAACTTAAAATAAAATGTAAGATATCTCTTTAATAATTTTTATATCAATTATATGCTGATATGAGAATATTTTGTTGCATTCTTAAAATATTTTGTGAAAATTATTGTTACTTTTTATTTTTAATGACTTTAGAAATTTTAGAATTATATATGTGGCTCACATTTTATTTTTATTGGACAATGCTGGTCCAGACGGAAACCTATTGGTCCCCATTAGCACTAGAGGAAATCCTGATCTGGTAGTTCCCATAGTGATTTTTCATGGTCTCTGCCCTCAACTCTGATTTTCTGGAGTTAAAGGCTCTTCCAAGCTGAGGATATCTCCAGCTGAAAAAGAAGGGGGTGGGGAGAGACAGGAACAGACAACAATAGATAGGGACTAAAAGAGACATAGAAGGGAATCTTGAAAACCCCTTAGCCAAAAGGCTTCCCAGAGCTACTAGCCCAAAATATAGAAAACTCAAAGAATGTCAGAAGACCTTGTAAACATCTCCACCTTGCTTAGGTGTATAACCCTTCACAAACAATAACTTCTACTCCATGTTTTCTTATGTCTACATCTGGGGATGTAGGAAAATAAGGACAAGAAAGAATATTAGTCATCTTTGTTATTCCACAGTGGGATATGATACCACTTCCTTCCAGCTTCTTTTGGGCAGTTTCATGGATATTCCTTCTCCCTTCGTGCCTTCTTTCATTATGTGGACCATGGACATTTAGGATGGCTGATGTTTAAGGAACAACTAGTAGTACTAGTTAGTGTTTCTATTTCAGAAGTAACTCAGATTCAAGTCTTAGAGAAGTACTGTTCCAGTTATTTCTGGGCTACTTGAATTCCCTATCTCCCTCTCCCCATTGCTAATTCTGGAAGGAATGGAGGTCAGCTCTGTCAAGAGAAGTTCACTGAGTCCTGAGACCCAGGCCTGAGATTGTCATTCCATGTGGGCACCCCTCCCCCTTCCTATAATCATGACTTCATTGTATTCTTTCCTAGACCTAACTAGATACATTCCACAATCCGACTATTTTTCTGAAATAGATCTCTAAGAACTTGTTGTTGTGTGTTTATTCAGATCACTTCTGGTGCCATTAAAACCAGGCTGAAAGAAGCAGAGTCCACTGAACAGATGATCAACATTGCTCGTGAGAAGTACCGCCCAGTAGCCACTCAAGGCTCTGTCATGTACTTTGTCATTGCAAGCCTCTCAGAGATAGATCCCATGTATCAGTATTCACTAAAATATTTCAAACAGGTAAGGTGGTGTCAGTGGTTGTTATTACTGTTGTTGTTAATGAAATTTATTTATTTGGTGTCTCTTTAAATCATTTGGAGTTCCTTCTGGCCTCAGACAAGTCATGAATCTAATTATCAAGTAAAATCCTCTAGGAGTTTGGGTTTGGACATATGTCTTAAGAGTGACTCTACCTGGTATGACTTCTAAAGATTTGCTTACCCAATGTTAATGTTCTCTGTGTTGTATCTCAAGTCTCTAACAGTACCAACCTTAACAAAATTGGGTTTTCTATCACGTTTTTTTTTTTTTATTGTTTTCCAGAACTACGTATATAGCAGGCTAGTTCCCCACCCCCAGGTTGTCATTCAGAGGGATCCTAAATGCCTAGTCTCCTTTCCTTTGTTCCTTTCCCACTTTAACCACATGACTGACACCTTGTGCTTTATTTCATATTCACAGATGTGTTTCATCTGATTTCTTGTGAGTAGAATCTTTTTCTACCCCTCACCCTCTTTGTAGCAGCATTTCATTGTATCTCCAAAAATGAATTTGGTTCCACAAGGCTTTAGTGAGCAGTGCTGATTTTACTGAAAATTTTGACCAATGATGGAGCTTGCATCACCCATTACACAGCAAAACTTACCAAGCATTCCCAGTAGGACCCTCTGTTTGCCTCCAGAGTTTCTTCCAGTTTACCAGTGGCCTCTTCCCATCAGCTGACCTCATGTACCGCCTCAGTTCTCTCATCTCCTCTTTGTCTACATTGTTTTCTTTTCTCTACATAGCAGTTTAGCCCACTCTTGCTTCTTTAAGCATCCGTACTCATCCCCCTAACAATTTGGCAAACAAATCTTAGGAAAGTGGCTCAAACACTTATAGAAGCTGGCAAGTCCCAAGGTTCTTGGATCACGTCAAGCTGGAGGCTTTTCCTGACTCACACAGCTGCAGAGGCTGAGGAGCTCAAGCTGTTGACTTGAATGAATGACTAATCCAAGATCTCCAGGCCAAATGATGGATTGTTTGCTCATGGACAGTTGTAGGCAGCACAACAGAATCCCAATCCACAGAAGAGTATCTCTTTCCCAGGATGTCCATAAATACATTGGAAGCAGGCCACACCCCTAGGGAAACTCCCTTTCAACTGATTGGCTACTCAAAACATATACATCCAGTCTCATCATAGGAATGACCCACATCACAACTGCTTATACCACTCAGAATTGTGGTCAGGCCAAGTTGACACATAACTCCAACTATCATAAGGAACTTTATAGTTTCAGGATTCACATTTAAGTCTTTGATCTATCTGGAGTTAGTTTTTGTGTATGGTGTGAGGTACGGATCTTGTTTCATTTTTCTGCAAATGGATATCCAGTTTTGCCAGCATCATTTGTTAAAGAAACCATCTCTTCCCCATGTAATAATGGATTTCAGCCTTGGTCAAAAATCAACTGATCATAGGTCGATGAATCTATTTCTGGGTTCTTATTTCTGTTCCACTGGTCTATGTGTCTGTCATCATACCAGTACTAGGCAGTTTTGACTACTGTGAATGTTTACTAGGTTTTGAAGTCCAGGAGTGGGAGACCTCCTACTTTATTTTTCTTCTTGAATAATGTTTTGCTTATCCGAGATCTCTTCCCTTTCCATATAAAATTAATGATTGGTTTTTCCATATCCTTAAAGAATGCTGATGGGATCTGGATTAAGATTGCATTAAATGTATAGATTGCTTTGGGTAGTATTGACATTTGCTCCATCTTCAGTCTTCCTATCCATGAGCATGGTATGTTCTTCCATTTATGTAGACCACTTATGGTTTCTTGGAGTAGTGTTTTGTAGTTTTCTTTTTATGGGTCTTTTGTGTCCCTGTTGTTGTTGTTGTTGTTATGTGCCATTGAGTTGACCCCAACTCATAGTGACCCCTCCTTGGGTTTCTGAGGCAGGATCACTACAGAAGTAGATTGCCCAACCTTCCTTTCGAGGAGTAGCTAGTGGGTTTGAACCACTAGCCTTCTGGTTAATAGTCAAGTGCTTTAGGCACTGTGCTACCAGAACTCCTTTTGTGTCCCCATTGTTGTTATATGCCATTGAGTCAGATCCAACTCCTAGCAACACCTCCTTGGGTTTCCGAGGCAGTATCACTATGGAAGTAGATTGCCCCATCTTCCTTCTGAGGAGTGGCTAGTAGTTTTAACCGCCAGCCTTCTGGTTAGCAGTCAAGTGCCTTAGGCACTATGCTACTAGTGGGACTTATTCCCAAGTAGTGCCTAAGGTACTTGACTGCTAACCAGAAGGTTGGTGGTTCAAACCCACCAGCCACTCCTCAGAAGGAAGGTTGGGCAATCTACTTCCATAGTGATACCACCTTGGAAACCCAAGGAGGGGTTGCTGTGAGTTGGAGACAACTCGACAGCACATAACAACATTTTATTTTTTTGATAGTGATTGTAAATGGTAGTGATTTCCTTACTTCCTTTTCAGCAATCTCTTTGCTGGTGTAGAGAAATCCAATTGATGTATCTATGTTGATCTTGTATCCTGCCACTATGCTAAATCGCTCAATTAGATCCAGTAGGTTTGTTGCTGAGTCTCTGGTTATCTAAGTATGTTGTTGTTGTTATGTGCCGTCGAGTCGGCCCCAACTCATAGCGACCCCTCCTTGGGTTTCCAAGGCAGTATCACTACGGAAGTAGGATTGCCTAACCTTCCTTCCGAGGAGTGGCTGGTGGGTTTGAACCGCCAGCCTTCTAAGTATAAGATCATATTATCAGCAAATAGGTATAGTTTTACTCCTTCCTTACCAAATTGGATGCTTTTGATTTCCCTTTCTTGCCTTATTGCCCTGGCTAAGACTTCCAATTCAATGTTGAATAGAAGTGGTGATAGAGGGCGTCCTTGTCCGGTTCCTTTTTACAAGGGAAATGCTTTCATTCTCTCTCCATTGAGAATAGTGTTGGCTGTTGGTTTTGCATAAATCCTCTTTACTATGTTGAGGAATTTCCGTCTATTCCTATTTTTCTAAGACTTTTTATCAGGAATAGGTGTTGGATTTTATCAAATGCCTTTTCTGCATTGATTGATATGATCACATGGTTCTTTTCCTTTGTTTTATTTATGTGATGGATGTCATTGATTGTTTTTCTAATGCTGAACCATCCTTGCATACCTGGTATGAACCTCACTTGGTCATAATATATTATTTTTTGATATGTTGTTGGAGTCTACTGGCTAGGATTTTGTTGAAGATTTTTGTATCTGTATTCATGAGGGATATTGGTCTGTAGTTTTTCTTTTTAGTGATGCCTTTGCCTGGTTTTGGTAATCAAGTTTACGCTTGCTTCATAAAATGAATTTGGGAGGATTCCATTCTTTTCTATGTTCTGGAATAGTTTGAGTAGAATTGGTATCAATTTTTCTCTGAACTTTTGGTAGAATTCTCCAGTGAAACCATCTGGGCCAGGGCTTTCTTTTTTGGTAATTTATTTTATGAACTGTTCAATTTCTTCTTTTGCTATGGGTTTGTTCAAATTTTCCACCTCAGCCTCTGTTAGTTTAGGTAAGTACTATGTCTCTAGTAATCTGCCCATTTCTTCTAGATTTTCAAATTTGTTGGAGTGTAGTTCTTCATACTGTCCTGATATTATCCTTTTAATTTCTGCTGGTTCTGTTGTGCCATAACCCAATTTGTTTCTTATTCATGTTATTTGTATTCTCTCCCTCTTTTCCTTTGTTAAATTTGCCAGTGGTTTATCAAGTTTATTAATCTTTTCATAAAACAAACTTCTAGTCTTGTTGATTTTTTCTATTATCTTTCTATTTTCTGTTTCATTTATTTCTGCTTGAATCTTATTTCTTCTCTTCTGGTGACTGTAAGCTTTTTTCCTGCTCTTTTTATACTTGTTGGAGATGTTGGGCTAAGGTGTTGATTTGGGCTCTCTTCTTTTTTGATGTGTGCATTTATTGCTATAAATTGGCCTCTGATCACTGTTTTTGCTGTGTCCCAAAGATTTTGGTATGTTGTGTTTTCATTCTCATTTGATTCAAGGAATTTTTTAATTTCATTTTTTATTTATTCTATTACCTAGTCATTTTCAAGTAAGATGTTTTTCAGTTTCCATGTGTTTGCTCTTCTTCTGTTGATCTTCCAATTAGTAATTGTTGATTTCTAATCTTATAGCATTGTGATCTGAGAAGATGCTTTTCAGTATTTCAGTGTTTTAAAATTTATTAAGACTTGCTTTGTGGCCTAATATATGGTCTATCCTGAAGAATGTGCCATGTGTACTGGAAAAAAAAAATGTATTTTGTTCTGTTGTTGGGTGAAGTGCTCCATAGATGTCTATAAGGTCAAGCTGGAGAATTGTATTGTTTAGTTTTCTATATCTTTGTTGAATTTCTTTCCAGTTGTTCTATCTGTGATTTAAAGTGGTATAGTAAATCTCCTACTGTGACTGTGAAGTCATCTATTTGTCTTTTCAATTCTGTTAGAGTCTGATTTATGTATTTTGGGGTTCCATCATTGGGTCCATAGATATTTATTATTGTTTTCTCCTCTTGTTAAATCAATTCTTTAATCATTATATAATGTCCTTCCTTGTCTTTTATGGTAGTTTTTATCTTTAAGTCAATTTGGTCAGAAATTAATATTGCCACTCTTACTCTTTTATGGTTGCTATTTGCTTGATATATCTTTTTCCAACTTTTGATTTTTAGTCTGTTTGTGTCTTTCTCTCTAAGGTGTGTCTCTTGTAGACAGCATATTGATGGGTTATGTTTTCTTATCCAGTCTGCAACTCTCCATCTCTTGAGTGGTGCATTTAATCCATTGATATTCGGTGTAATTATCAACAAGTATGAATTTGCTGCTGTCATTTTGTTATGTGCTTTTTTGTGCTGTTGTTGATTTCTTTGTTCCATATAATTTTCTGTGATGAGCTCATTTTGTTTATGAATCATGTTATCACTTCCTTGTTTGCTATTGTTTTAGTATCTGCTAAATATTTGTGCTGGTCCTC